GGCTATGGATGTGTTTGAGTTTGGGGGTCTTCTCCTTTTTTTTTTTTTTTTTTTTTTTTTTTTTTTTTGAGGCAGGGTTTCTCTGTAGCTTTGGAGCCTGTCCTGAAACTAGCTCTTGTAGACCAGCCTGGCCTCGAACTTACATAGATCCGCCTGCCTCTGCCTCCCGAGTGCTGGGACCACCACCGCCTGGCGAACTTGGCTCTCTTAAGAGCTGATTATAGTGGTGAACCACCACCCAACTTCCAAGTAGCATTACTTTTAATAGCACAAATTATGAACCACTTGAAATTTAGGATAGGAGTCAACAAACTTTCTTATAGGGCCAGAAAACAAATATGTTAGACTTTGCAGGCTGTAAAGTTTGTGTCTTAACCCTTCAGTACTGTAGCCTTAAACAAAATGTAAACTCATAGGCATGGTAATATTCTAGAATATTCTAGTATAACCATTTACAGCAGAGGTAGGGGTTAGCTGAGCTCCAGAGTGCACTCTTGCCTTGGATGTGCAGGATTCAGGATTAGATCCCCAGAGCTGCCAAAATAAAAAAAGGGGAGATAGAGGGAAAAAGCAACCTTTTTATAAATTCAGAACAGCGTTTGCCATTCCTTGGTTTAAATAAATAATTAATAAACTGATACATAAGATTGGTACATTATGTGTTCCATTAAATTAGTAAGGGGACAGAGAAGATAGTTTAGCTGTAGAGTACTTGTCTAGTTTGTGTGGGGTTCTAAGATCAATTTCAAACAGCATACAAAAATGAGTATTGTCAAAATATTGTCAAAACAGGATAGTTGAATAATTTATTTTATTTTATGGGTATTGGTGTTCTGCCTGCATATATGTGTGTGTGAGGGTGTCAGATCCTCTTGGAACTGGAGTTATAGACAGTTGTAGACTGCCATCTTTTTTTAATGATTTGTTTTATTTTATGGGAAAAAAGGACATTTTTAATAAAAGATACAGGATGCAAAAATGTATGAATAGAGGCAAATAATACAGAAAATGTATAAGATAAAGTTAATTCAGATAGTGTGACTGTAATAGGATGGCAGAGCAGTAAATGGATATATTGTCTTTTTTCAGTGTTTCAGTTTTTGTTTTAATTTGTAATATCTGAAAAAACAAAGACACTTAATTGGCTAAAGACCTGACAACAAACTCCACAGTTAGTGAAATGGTGGTTGTACATAACATATACTGTTTATCAACTTACTGATTTTCTATTTTTTTTTTTTTTAATAGCTGTAGCTTTGAAGCCTGTCCTGGAACTAGCTCTTATAGACCAGGCTGGCCTTGAACTCATGGAGACCTGCCTGTCTCTGCCTCCCAAGTGCTGGGATTAAAGGCATGCTCCAGCACTGCCCAGCAATTTACTGATTTTCGTTGTAATCATCTTGACTATTTGAGAAAATACTAGTCTGGGTCCAGTTTTCAGGGTTGGTTGTTCAGTCGGTATGTCTTTCTGTCTTTTTTTTCTCTTTTGTTTTGTTTTGTTTTGTTTTCTTTCTAAGAGTTGGGAGTCTCTATATGTGGTCCTGGCTATATTGGAACTTGTAGACCAGACTGGCCTCAAACTAAAGATCCTCTTGCCTGTGTCCCCCAAGTGTGGGATGTGTACAATCAGCGCCTTCCCCACAACCTTTCAGGTTGTTTTATAGATACCTAGGAGTGGAATTGATGTATTATTTGATAAATCTGTTTATTCATTTATTTTTTATTCTTTTGTCTTTTTATTTTATTTTTTCATTTATTTTTAATTAAAAATTTTATTTTTGAGTGTTTGTTGTTGGTTGTTTTTGTTTTTTTCTTTTCCCCCGATATAGGATTTTTCTGTAGCTTTGGAGCCTGTCCTGAAACTCGCTTTGTAAACCAGCTGGCTTTGAACTCACAGAGATCCACCTGCCTTTGCCTCAATGCGTGCTGGGGTTAAAAGTATGCGCCACCACTGCCCAACAGTGTTTGAGTGTTTTGCCTGCTTGTATGCCTGTGCCTCACAGGTGTGTGTGGTGCTTAACCAAGGGCTGAAAAGAATGTCAGATATCTTGGAACTGGAGCTACAGTTGTGAGGCCTGAGTGCAGGGCTTTGCTATAAGAACAGCCAGTACTCTTAACTGATGAGCTATCTTTCCAAGGATTGCCAACTTTTTTTTCCTCCGTAGCAGTTACACCATTTTATTTCCATCAGATTCTAGTTTTCCTGTTTCATTACCAACAGTGACTTTCCTTAAAAAGGTATCGTTATTGTCATCCTTGTAGGGAAGAATAGATTTCCCATTGTAAGTGATTTACCAGAAAGACAGCAGGTGTCTTCTAGAGTTGTTGTTTTTTTTTTTCCAGAAACCGATGTAATTGAAATATAAATAACAGCTTTGTGCTGGCTTTGTGCAGGAGGATCTAGAGTTCAAGATCATCTTCTATTACATAGGTTTCAGATCTGTCAGGTACATCAAAATTCTGTCTTAATGTTTTATGTTTACAGCAGGTACGACCAAAACTGCCACTTCTGAAGATTTTGCAGGCTGCAGGTGCTCAAGGGGAAGTATTCACTATGAAAGAGGTAAGCTATCAAAGACAGTTCCAATTTTAAGAACAGTTGAGTAAGCCGGGCGGTGGTGGCGCACGCCTTTAATCCCAGCACTTGGGAGGCAGAGGCAGGCGGATCTCTGTGAGTTCGAGACCAGCCTGGTCTACAAGAGCTAGTTCCAGGACAGGCTCCAAAACTACAGAGAAACCCTGTCTCGAAAATCCAAAAAAAAAAAAAAAGAACAGTTGAGTAGAGGCCATCATATATGTACAGTTCTGAAATCTGGGCTAAGGAAGGAGAGCATTTGCCTTATTAATTTCCTGTTTCCCTTAGAGTTAGTTCCTTTTGATGTATATATGTGGTCAACTGCAAATTCATTGACCTGGGAGTTATAATACAAAATGTGTGGGTGAAAAAAAAGTCACAGATTTGTTGCCAGGCAGGAATTTGATGCAGTAACTTTGTCATTGTACATTTGTCGGATGAATCATTTTGAACGTTTAGGAATTTAAATAACTTACTTAGTATCTTGAAGTTCTTTTTTTAAACTACCAAAGTACATTGAATTCTTTAAGTGGAAAATAGTATAAAATGTTAATGTACCCGAACAATTGCAGTTATTATGGTAGACCCTTCACCTTTTCTTAGCAGAAAACAAAATTATGGAGCTCTTTTAGTTTTTCCTTAGAAGTGCCATATCTACTAGTACTAATGCCAAGACTGCAGATGTTTTTTTACTTGCTTGTGATATTTAACAAGAACTGAATTATTGAGTAAAAATTTTTTTTTCCTACCTTTAAAAACTTTCAGGGTCAAGTGGGAGGGTAGACGGGAAATAAACAATGGAAGCACGAAAAAATATTTTAGTAGATATCTCTCCCCCATCTCTTCCCTTTCCCCTTTCATTCCCTCCCTTTCTGTTTGTCATAAAATTTATCCAGGTTTATTGGCAAACAGTGTATCAACCTAGATTATATAATAAAAGTTCTATGTTATGCTTCATCTACATGTAAAAGGGTACTTTTCAAGTTTAGAATCTTTTGAGCTTTTGAAATTTGTAAAGAAAAAGCTAGATAGACTACATTTTTATTTGTTAAAGACCTAAATTTTTTTTTTTTTTTTTTTTTTCAAGACAGGGTCTCTTTTCATTGTCCTGGAACTCACTTCCTAGGCCAGGCTGGTCTCAAAGTCTCAAACACCTGCCTCTGCCTTCCCAGTGCTGGGATTAAAGGGGTGTGCCACCACCACCAGCTCTGATTTTTATATTGGGACTGATGGTTCATTAAAAATTGGACCTTTGCCAATAGAACACTACCTTGCCACATTTTTTTTTTTCACTGTCAGATCAGTAGTTTTTGGTGTAAAAATCTGGCTCTGTTGATGGATGAGTATGTGAACCTAGTAGTAGGAAACATCTATCCTGATTGGGGATTGCTTATATGCCATTAGCATTCAAACACTGGCAGTCTTGTATTGTCTTTCTCTTTCAGCAAAATATCTAAGTCACTCATGGGTAATTATGGTTTTGGTAGTAGCCAGGCGGATCATTTCATGGTGTTTTATTCTCATGTAGGTAATGCACTTTCTAGGCCAGTATATAATGGTGAAGCAACTCTATGATCAACAGCAGCAACATATGGTATATTGTGGTGGAGATCTTTTAGGAGATCTGCTTGGACGTCAGAGCTTTTCTGTGAAAGATCCAAGGTAAAAAGGGCAAGAGTTTCTTATATATCTTTGAGTGCTTATACCTGCTCACTCTCTAGCTGTATACCTTTTTTGTTTTAGTATTTTAGGGGATGAATGTGTTAAATAGGCAGTGAGATACATTACAAAGTTGAGTAGTGAAAAGTGTGGGCAGTCTGATTTGATGGTACATACAGTACAGTCTTCATACATGGTAAAATAACATGACAGTAAGAGCTATGGAAGAGAAGTACATGAAACAGGAAATGGAGTGTCAGAGGTGCCTTTAAGAAGCAAAGTTTGTGCTGAGCTGGAGCAGTTTCTAGAGGGACTGATTGGAAGGAGAGCTTCTGACTGAATATCTTGTATATAGGTTGAATAGGAGGGAGCCATCACTAGGTTAGAAGTCTGTGAGGTGTTAGAGAGACAGGAAGAAGTATGAGCTGATAGAAAAATACAGAACAACAGGGAAGTTTGAGGTTCATGGTGAGTTCAGTAAGAATCGAGTAGAGTAAATTTGACCTATATGGTGTTCTTTGCTTACTTGGTGGTGTGTAGGGTCAATTGACTTAACTGAGAAGCTAGTGTTCTTAAAACTTTTTTTTAATTTAAAGTTTTAGTTCATGTGTATGAGTGTTTTGCCTGCATGTATATGTCTGTGTCCCATGTTTATGTATGCGGAAGAGGGAGTCAGATCCCCTGGAATTGACGCTACAGATGGATGTGAGCCACCATGTGAGTGCTGACAACTGAACTGTTTCTCAGTACGAGCATCAGTTAGCTCTTCTTTAAGTCTTTAGGGTGCATACCCATTCATCAATAGTATTTTAGATCAGGAGATTGAGGGCAGAAATGGGTATAAGGAATTATTCATCATCTTTAATCATCAGCCAAGCCAAGCAAGGAAAGTACATCAGCTGTTAATAGTTGGGCTGCTTTGTT